CCGGCAAGTGGATTGATGAGGTTGTGAGGTTTATTTGATTGAGATGGCTTGGACATGTACTGCGTATGCCAACCCACCGTCTATCTCGACGTGCCTTGCATAGGAGAGTTGAATTAGGTTAGAAGAGGGTTCAAAATGGCAGGAAACGACAAGTGTTGGTTCATGCGTCGCAGTACATCCCCAAACCATCTCAGTCGACTAAGCCTCACAACCTGTTCAATCGACTTGCCGGCATCTCTTGACCTCAACATTGCTCACAAGCTAATTCCACTGATTAGGAGCAATACTGAGAAGATATATGTGATTAAAAACCTGTAAACGTTTCGTGTTTTCTAACTTCGAGAGGTGATTCCCGAAGTTCTAAGGAGAAGTCATCGGCAATGGAGTCAACCAAGTTGAACATAAGGACAGTTACTTAGCAACGATATTGGATATAGGTCACCCTATATCGTAAACTGACAGAATTAGGAAATATGAACCATTGAATTCCGATCCAGTAGCTCAGTGGTAACGTACTGACCACTGAATCTGAAGGTCATGGGTTCGACCCCTGAAGGGTGAAGTCACAGGTGAGTACTACTGAGGAAAAGGCTTTTCTTCAGTGCTCTCAGGTTTCCAATGTTTCTCCAATTGATGTCAATCCATGATGAACTTCAACTTAGAAAGTGAAATAATTAAACACATTGACTGTTCCCCTCTAACTAATTCTTCTCTGAATGAGTCAATGAAGTATGAATTCTTCATTCATCTGAATAGAACCAACTGTGATTTCCGTAAAGTATCTAATTTCCTATCAATAGTTGAGTGTATATTAGACATAGTAGTTCGCCTTAACTTACTCTATGATTGTGTAATAAATAATCAATAAGGAGAAAAGAAGAGATAATTCAGTAAAGAAAATTTTCTTCTTTGATGATATGATTTTTTAAAGCTATACAATCGTTTTTTTTATATATCATAGACATATAGCCCGGTGGCCGCTGGTTCGAATCCGGCCGTGGTCCAAATTTTCATTTCACCTACTATCCATTACCCAGTATCACATACTAGTCTGTCAAACTACGGTTCTCACTGAGATAGTCAAACGATAGTCAATATGACACTACACCCTGCCCCCTCTCTAATTGACTTAGATATTGGATTAAGCAGCTAATATGAATTCAATCAAGCAGTAGTAACCCATCAAGAATTCATATACATTGTAGTTGGGAAAAACTCTTGGTGATTTGATGAAGTGAAATAAAAATCTCATCAGCAATTGGACCTCCTACTCTCAGTTAGTAGAGCATCGGGCCAGAAACCCGATGGTCGCTGGTTCGAATCCTGACCGCGGTTCAAATTTCCACTTCACTTTCAATCATCACCTAGTATAAATATTATAACAGTTCATTGTAAAACAACAATGTATAATTGAACCATTAAGCTAAGCTAGTGCTAAAAAAAACTGGGATTAAGAATGAAAAGTAGTTACGTAATAATCTACTAGACAGTAGAAATAACAAGAAAGGTAAGGAGTTTGACAAGGTGAAATCTGTTGGTAGATGAGAAATGCAAAGTTGTCGAGTATCCACTTCATAGACAGATGTGATGAAGTTGAAGAATGAGACAAGGGTCATTCACAATGAAGGTGATAATAATAATAACAAACTAACTGATTGTGATAAAATCGAAGGAAGATTATGAAAGTGTTAAGACCATAGTAAGATAGGAGATTGAACATACTTCTTTCACACGCTGACATAAGGTTTGAACTGATGAATTACCAGTGCTTCTGCGTGGTGTACAAGTGTCGAAGGTGTACTCCTTTTGAACTCTACTCCATTTGACTCTATAAATGGTACTGAAGGAGGATTCTAGTCCAGCTATATGTCCAGAGTTGACCAAATGTTCAAGAATTGAACTGTTAGTTGATTTATGGCTGGACAGGATAGTGCTCTGAGATACATTTGGAAAGTGTGCACATTGTCCAGCCTATATAACTAGCTTCCACAGGAGTAAGAAAATTTGTAGACACACATCAAGGTGATGGCCCAAAGTGGCAACTTGTCCTTAACACACTCTGGAATGAGTCGTTCACGAGAGAAGCTGAACTGCAGCTTCACACAGAAGAATGTCTTCTTTCTTTTGTGATCCAGACAGCTGATTATTCAGGATGTCTGCTGCCGTATCACCTTTGAAAACAACGTGTTCTCACAAACTGTGAGTACTCGCTCCGTATTCTCATTTACTTTCAACTTCTTATCTATAAATATGAACGGTTATCTATTGTGCATGAGGATCTTCCGTAGATTGTCTAATTCATCGTCCATAATATCTATCACTCGTTCACATTCTTCTGATTCTTGAAGATGAAGAATGGATTAGATTCCTCTTTCTGCTGATAGGCATCCAGATGTAGTATGCAGATTCATATATTGTCCATTCCATGTAGGCTGCCTACAAATTGATCTCTGAAGACAATCAGCCTGTCTGGTCTCCCTCTCTTTCGAAAAGACATCGAGAGAATAGAATTCTGATGTGAAGTTGATCCGATCGATGGTGTAACAATCATCGAAGTGTTTAACTAGTGTCCCAATATCTGTATTTTGATCACATATGATGAATGTATCTACCTTTTCTCTATGACTCGATGGACATTTTGTCGTAATCAATGAATAAGTGGGACACACAGAAAAACTCCAGATTTTTAATCACCATTGACTTCGAAGTGTTGATTGCGTCATATAGGACCATATTAGGGAAATAATGTAGTGGGGTAGGCAATACTGTTAAGGTTGTAAACCTTATAGACGGATAAAGTAAATACATATTATTGAAGAATTCATGGAAGAAAATGATATCTTAGTAAATAGTCAGCTAACTTCAGGAAATTGATTAGTTAACGCTAAAATGGGCGTATGAACTATTGTGTCACATTTTTGATAATTCTCTATTCACTACTACTGAAGACAATCTGGTAAGTAGTTATACAACTATTGAACGAAAAAAAATTTCAGCATCGAAATAACGGCCATATACAGCTAGTTTTTCAAATGACAGACTGAGAATCGTATACTGTAAAGGGGAACTAGACACCCCCCAGCCCACCTCAGATGAAGTGAAACACAGAGGCAACCAAGAACAACATCAAATGGAAATCAAAATTCACTCATGCATACTGTACACATTGGTGTAGAGTAGATAATGAGTCACATCTATTGTATACATGTCAATGATGGATGCTTCTTTCTGACTGGCCAAACCTCGGTAGGTGGAGTAAGGTTCGAACTGGTGGTAACATTGGTTGAAAGTCATCTTTATCGACTAATGAATCACAGATCCACCATCGGAGAACTGGATAAGGTAGTGCGTACACTCTCCTGATATATCTCGTACTAGGACAAAACAAATGACCAATGTTTCCAGATTTATAAAGCTTCTATGACCAATCTCAGTCAATGATGAACCTTTTTACATAAATAAGACTCCCATTTCACTTACAATCACTATCATATCATCATGTACAAATTTATGTCATTCAACTATACTACTTACTACTACTAACAAAGTGAAGAAGGTGAGCTAGCAATGTTGGATTGAAAGAGTAAACGAACACAAGATGGAAGTTTGGAGACTAATGTCTATAGGAAACCTACCCATTCGAATCGCTCCTTAGACTTCGAATCCTCCCACTCCATTTCAGTTAAATTAGGCTTAGTTAAATGCCTAAGTGATAGGGCGTAAGAGGCTGGCTAATAGGCCAGAAAATCTGCCACAAGAAATTAGACATATCAAGAATACCTTATAGGTCTCAATAACTACCCACCAAAATTTATCCATAAATCCATGAGAAATAGAAAGAAGGTTATTGGCAGTAGTAGTAGTAGTAGTAGTAGTAGTAGTAGTAGTAGTAGTAGTAGTAGTAGTAGTAGTAGTAGTAGTAATACAGGTGTTATTAATAATAATTCCACTACTAGTGGTAATAATGGCGACAGGGTTCAGAGAGAATACAAGGAAGGCACCTCAGAAGCATTACGAAGAATTCTCAATAAGGGTGGCTGGGACTAAAGTGTCTGACATTCAAACCAACAAACTAGCTTAGAAACAAGCTTTGTAGGTTAAAAGATCTTATCGATGCAATTAAGCAAAATAATCTGGTTCACCAAATCCCCTGCAATAATTGTGAGGTCAAATATATAAGTCAAAGTAGTCGACCTGGATTGATTAAAATAACAGAGCACAAAAACTTAGTTGAATCAACAGATTAGCGGATCCTTATAAGATAAGAAGTTTATGGAAAAGCTCAGCCATAGCTCTGCACACAATTACACACAATCACACAATAGGGTGGGATAGGGCAACAGTGTTGCAGACTAACTTAGGTGAAAGAAGAGATTGATAACGGAGTCCTTGTTCATTGAATTCACGCTAAATACATGCAATAACAGAAATAATTCTGCACTTGTCTCAGATAAATATGGAAAATTCTACTACCTTTGTTATCATAGAGAAGGAAAGAAAATTAGGAATACATAAAGTCTGTCTCGAAGTTGTGGAGTCACCTGATATGAATATGGAGAATTAATTGTGTTTGAAACCTGGTTATCCAGTAAATGCTACTGTTGCTTCACTGTGTGATATTTCTCACAGACTAAACAGACTAAAATGGAATTACAATCCACTACAATGCCCAAGTTTTACACTTATATTTATGATGAACTGGTTTTTGTATTCCAGTGGATAACACAATGGCGTTCAAAGCAATGGGTACGAGGTTCCAGTCTCAGTGGGGACAAGATCATTCACTTGGGGGAGAGGCAAGTACATCCAGCTGATGAGTCCCAAATGGGACGAAACATCTGTTCTAGACTCCATTGACAGTTGAAAAAGACGAATGATAATTAAATCATCCGTTAAGAATCGATTACCATGACTGAAGTTGCAGAGTGTATACATACATATGATACAAAGGAAGAGGTTAGTACAAATATGCAAGCACACACACATACACACACACTCACCTTCGCTTTTTGTTTCCTTGCCCATTGAAATGTCTTTTGAAGCCAATCCAGTTGACCTAAAGGATCATGATCTTCATCATTGGCCAATATATTTCCTTGATACCATATTAAACCATTTAAACTAATTAGAATTAGATTAGTTCTACGTGTACTATTCATCCGTTGATCATAATCATACTGATTATATGCACCAATATTTACAAGATGATGAGAGAAGAAACAAGCTAAAAGATAAAGTTAATAGGAAGAAAGAGGGAAAAAAACCACAGATTTAATAAACATCAACATTTGAATGTTATACAATTAGGTGGTTAATAAGAAGTTCTTGACTAACTTTAGAATAGTTTCCATTATGTATAGATTTTATTATTTGACCATTGGGTTCCTAGTGGAACATGCGACTTCAGTAACACATCGCTGTTTCACTCTATTCTCTACAGTCTTTTCAACACGGCTCCATCAATGCCCACAAGTTTTAACTTTCCCCCCTCACACCATCTCCTCCACGTCACCTCCTCCTCGGCTCACACACCAAACTCGTCATTTCCTATTTGCCTCCCACTCGACGGCTTGACCTAGTGCATGACCTCCTCAAACCCTCTTCTCAGTCTATGTCCAGTCCACTATACTCCACTGTCTTCTACTCCCCACTTATTAGGTGATACGTTCTCGGTTGGTTGGTTGGTTCCATGCCAACCAGACGACCAACCACAGTCAGTTCCTTCTTGCTTATTCTTATTATGCTGCTCATCTATCTATCTATCCGATCTTCAGTGCCAGTATCGAGGGAGTGTAGGTGGCAGCTGTTGATGATGTATGTCTCCAGTTCGTTGGAAATGCTTTTCGTAACGCGCCAAGTCTGAGAACCATATAGAAGCAGACTTGACGTTAGTGTTTAAAATGTGGATCTTGTTCATTATGCTGCTGACTGTAGTACATCTCCACACTGATTCCAGGTTAATGAAGGCCTATCTCGCTTCTGCGATCCTGGCTTTGACGTGCCGCCTGTAGTCGAAACGACAAATCCTAGGTGGTAGGTCAAAGAGACAACTTCCTTTAGATTTGTCCCGTTGATGGTGATTGGTGCTTGTTGTCTTCTCTACCTTCTCCTGAAGGAAGTCCCATCTTCCTTCGCTGCCTCGCCTATTCATCATTGGCAAAATCCAAATCTTCTTCTGGAGTCTTTTCATCGGTTCAGCCAGCGTATGTCCATCTTCTCGCTCCTCACAGTTGTCTGTTGCATGATCCAGTTGAGTTCAGTTGACCACAATCAGGAAGATCATTGGTAATGAATAGTAGGCAACCTTTTCTTCACTTCAAGGGTATTACTGAGCTTTCCATTGTTTACAGATCCATATCATCTAGGAAATCATGAGGCACTGAAGAGCTATTTCATCCTCCGTTTGTCTTCATGAAAAGTAAACACTCATGTCACTATCTGGGATTGAACTTAGAATGATCATCTCTGGTGGAGTTGTCGGTAACTGGTTTAAGTAGATGACTTTCAACTAGTGGGTCCCAAGTTCGAACCTCACTCCATCTACAATAAGTATATGCCTTATTGCCTACTGGATGAATATGCTCGAGGTTGCTGAATGGATTTCAATTTTTTTAACAATGATTTCTCACTTCCCCGATTCAAAAGAGGTTAGAAACATAAATCAAAAGATTCCTATTGAGAAGTTGAACAATAACATGCCTGCCATAAGAAGTGAAAATGTGAATTTTTTCCATTGAAGTATTCCAAAGTATAATGAAATAGCTATCTAGTGTTTCAAATTTTTCAATGTCGCCCCAATTGACAAGGATAGTTAAAAGTTGTTATTCATAGAAGACTGACATCAGTTGGAGGAACAAAGGAAACCTGGGAGCACTGGACAGCTGGTTCGTCCTAGTATGGGACTCCTCAGCAGTGCGCACCCACGACCCCACCAGCAGGAATCGAGAAGTATTCCCGAAGTTCCAATGACAAGTCGTGACCGGTGGAGTCAAAGCCTGATGGTCGTGAGGACAAATACTCAACGATGACATTGGGTGGCGGTTGCACTATATCGTGAGCTAACAGAAGTTGGAAATATGGAGCATTGGATTCTGACCCAGTGGCTCAATGGTAACGCGCTGGTCGCGGGACCTGAAGGTCGCGGGTTCGATCCCTGCTGGTGGGGTCGTGGGTGCGCATTGCTGAGGAGTCCCATACTAGTCGAAAGAAACAGCTGTCCAGTGCTCCCAGGTTTCCTTTGCTCCTCCAACTGATGTCAGTCTTCGATGAATAACAACTTGAAATATTTCCAAATGTCCACAACCCCCTCAAAATTTAAAGGATAGTTAAGTAAACTATACAAGATAGACTTGTTCAGCGCAGATTGCTTTTAATGAGTACAACGAAGATAACAAGGGAAGCTTAAGTCGTAGTAAAACCCAATAACGCGGTCTTTAAACTCTTTTAAAACCGATGCTATATACTGATGCTGACCAGTCTGTTTACGAGAAAAAAGCATATATTTGATAGATTGACAAAATCAACATAGATCCTAGAACATAAGTGGATTGGTTCAAGTTGCAGTACTTTACAGTAAAATATAAAGTATCAATGGACGGAAGAAAACTGATATCAACGTAGAAAAAGTTGTATAGGAAGAGAAGGAATTAAAAAAAAAAACAGCGTTATCATCTGACTATCTGAGATAGCTGTAATTTGGTAGACAAGCATTTATACCAGGTATTTATAAGACGTCAAAGGACCTCGTAGCTCAATCGCTACAGCATTAGGCCGAAAACCTGGTGGTCGCCAGTTCAAATCCGACCGCGATCACCCAGTATAAATTAAGGGTAGTCAAAATATTAGAGTTTTAGGAGACGTCAAGGTATGAATACATCTGCTGCATCAGCTAATGATTCTTATCATCTCGCGGACCTCATCTAAGCAGTTCTACCTCTTTCCCACACAACTCAGACCAACAGTTAGGGAGACTTAATTGACTAATGTCACGTCTTCGTCTGGTTACTCTGAGCCTTCACCTAACCTAATCCGACTTCATCTAGCATTTTACCCCTATTCTTTGTCGAGTACCCCTCACTTGAACAAAACTCTGTAATCGCTTCGTGTCTTCTACTTTTAACGGTCATATTTCACAGCCGTATAAAGCTTGGTTGGCTTTTGTCAACTTACGCCATCTGTGGCACCACCGTGATATCCGATTGTCTATTAAGGGTAGCGTGTACTACATAGCAGTCCGGTCTGTCCTACTTTATGGCTGTGAAACATGGTCACTGAAGATGGAAGATATGAGAAGGCTTCAGGTATTTGACCACCGTTGTTTTCGCAGTTTGCGTCGAATTCCGTGGTGTCACCACACCACGTGAGCAACGCAGAAGTCAGGCCCAGTTTTAGGGAGAAGAGGTAAGTCAGTTGATGTGATTGTGAACCTTCATCGATTGAGATGGTTAGCTCGGACATGCGTTACGCGTGCATAGTCGCCGTCTGCCTCCTCACACAATGTTGGTTGGCGGAAATAGGTTCAGACTGGAAAAAAGTTCGAGGCAGGCAGTTTAAAACATGACATCAATGTATGAAGTTGTTGACTGTTGGTCTGAGCCATGCAGGGCGATGCAGACTGGGTAGTTGGGGTCCACGGGACAGAGGTAATATGACTCAAAACCGATGTCGTCTCATCATGACGACGCTATACCGAATCTCATCATTTTCTCATTCTTCCTTTTTCTCTCTCTCTTTTCGTACTTTATCTTTCTTTTGACTGAATTTTCTTCTCTTCATCTCCCACTTCACTGCATTTTAATTTGATGTAGTGATATCAGGTGTGGCACAAAGTTGAACCGTTACACAGTAATGCCTAGTCTTATGTCGATTTGGATGGATGGACAGTTGAAATGCATCGCAATATACTCATTTTCTGATAGGTAGTCGGATTTACGTTAGAATAGAAAATGTAACTCAGCATTAGTCATTCATTGCATATAAAGACGATACTTAAACACTTGGCTGCATCATCATTGGCAATAGTAATGATAATAACCTACACTAAAAAACACATGAATCTAGTAAATAAGGCTTAACATTTTACCCTCTTGCCTGCGCTTTATTTGTAGACCCGACTACACAGAATAACATCATACTATACATAGTCAGAGAGAGAGAGAGAGAGTGTGTGTGTGTACTAACCACAACCACAACGAAAACAACAACTCTACTACTATTGATAATTGAACCTGATTTCAAGTGTGTTTTAATTTTTTCTCTCTATGTAAAACACAGACGATGATAACATAATCACATGTATACATACTTATTGTACAGTACACACAAAATAGTTCACAATGACTCACGCATACACACATTTGGATGAGATGAGTTGAAACAGAAATACCAAATGAGTAATTGTATGAGTTACAGTGATGGTTGAATAGAATTGATTCAACAAAATATCACTTGGAGCTAGTAATTTATTTCGTTGTGGCTAGCAGAAGAATCCAGGATGCGCGTTTCGTTCTATTTAGGACCCATCAACTGGATGTACCTACACCTCAGTGCGGAGTGATGTTGCTCCCATTGACTGGAACCTCGTGCCAATTAATTGAAACGTCAAAGCCTTATCTATAATCATTGCATAAGAAGTGGCTATCGTGACTCCATTGCCTAGTGAATAACACCTTGGCATTTTGAAGTGATGGGTACGAGGTTCAAGTCCCAGTAGGGACGACATTACATCGCACTGGGGTGCATGTACATTCAGCTGACGAGTCCCAAATAGGACGAAACGTGCATCCTGGATTCCTATCCCAAATTTACCATAATTAACATTTAGGCAACATCGAGACATCTGCATAAGAGCCCATATAGCAATAGAGGTCGGACAATTAGATCCAGTAAAACAATGGAGAATTACAAGTATATGAATAAATACTACTAATGTCGTAGTTAACCTTAACTAGCAAACTGATCACACACACACACACACATACTGGTGACAACTGAATTTTCAATTGATACAGAATTGAGAAAGTTTGTGTTCTTTTATGCAAATATCCAACAAATGGTATGCTTCTTCTCAACTCTAAATACTCATTCTACAGCTAGGTGATATGAATTCAAACGTCTCTGTACAGGGGGTTGATGAAATCGTCTAAACCTCATGGATCTCAGCAAACACATTTGTATGACCTGGTGAAAGTGTCCTTATGAGATGAATATTATCAATGATCAACT